CCCCCCACACCTCCCGCTCTCCCATCTGTTGCGGCCGTTCGTGTGAAAATTGCTGTTGAACTCTGGTTGTAACGATCCACGGACGACTCCTCCCCGCCGCTATCATATTTTGCCGGTGGAAACGCGACGCTCTTCGCCGGTGGAAAAACACACACAAAAAAAAAGACCGCCAGCCACCACTTGGACAAGGGCTCGATCCTCAAGATGGTCATCAACTCCCTGGAAGAGTGCATCATGAACTACGTGCCGCAGGTGCTCCCGCCAAAGGTCGACAGCATCTGATGGGTTGACACGATGAAGAACCGGTTGGGTGACACTTCGCTTTCCATTTCGCGCAGAGATGGGCGGCATCTGCACGAGTCTTCGGGGGTTTCATGGTGCGCGAGATCTCAGGGGGTCTTATGTGTGCTCCGATTTTCCCGAAGGGTGGAGATACTCTTGGGAGATGCAGTATTTCCACGCAAGTTTGCACGTCCGGGTGTGCTTGAAGAGCGAGCGCGACGCTGTTGTCGTCTGTAGTTTGCTTTTATGTTGTGGGCCCCAGGAATTGCCTCGAGCCCGCGCTCGAACGCGCGAGACTCGCAGCATTCTGCAGGGAATCAAGAGTCGCTTCGTTCTTCATGTGGAAGGTAGCGTTCTCTGGAAATTTGGAGTCAGCTGCCGCTACCGGCAGGGCTATCGCGCGCAACATACGGGCATTCAGGGACGGGGAAGCACGCGGGAGAAAGCGCGATGAGTTGGAAGCAACGCAAGCTCTGAATATTTTGAAGCGTCGCGTATTATCGAGAGATAGGGGAAGGAGTTACCAATGCGAGGTGGAAATCAATCCGTTTGAAAGACAACATGAGTTGGAAAAAAAGCAGCTCTTTGTTGACGTCGCGTATCGTCGGGACAGGGTAAGGAGTTCTCAGAATGCGGGGTGAAATTTGATCCGATTTGAATGATCACAGCCGTTCGTTGCCTAAACAGGGTCGACGTACGCGTCCTCCCCTATGTGCGTGTAATTGTTCCCGTTGTTTTACAATCTGTAGCGCACGATATAGCGCGCAAGGGTTTGTGTTTGTTCAGGCCTGAGAAGGCTCAACTCACGCTGCTGCTGCGTGTGGTAGGTGTTTAATGATCACTGGCAACGCGCTAGAGGAACCGTATTTCGGGTGGCCGGGACGTAAGGCCCACCTCTGAGTAGGTTGTTGTTGTTGTTGTTTTTCGTCACATCAAACTCGTGTCAGTTGCTAATCCCAAAATCTAGCAAAGACTCGGTCCGTGGTCACAAAAATGCTAGAGCCATCAGAAGATCTAAAGAACACACACACTATTAGCAAGAAAAGGGTACGCAAGCCCGAGGAGGTGCACCTGCAATCCCTGCAGCACGTTTGCGTGCTCACAACTGAACTATACGCCCACACACTACAAATCGACTACAGCAGCAGCATCACCCCCCTTGTTCCGCATTTAACCAAAGGGGTGTTCCGCGGTATAGACGAATTGTCTCTCCCGCGGCGAGGAAAAACTCGAATGAAACAGTTTTTGGATACATACATGTCTAAAACGTTCAAAAGCATATAAAAAAGAGAAACAAAAAAAAATGTGATCGGATCGCCTTGATTATTTTTTTTCACCGCGTTGCCGATTTCGGCGCCTCCATTTCTCCTCGGCAATCGATTCCGCTTGGCCGATTTGGGGTAGAGCCACCTAGAAAGTTGATCAGACAAAACTCGACGTGGGAACCGAGAATCCAAAATCCCAGGAATTTTGAAATTGCTCAGCTACTGTCAGCTTTTGAGCAGCTAACAGTCCATTGCAAATCAAAACTGGGACATTCCAACAATATATTTGTGATCCCCACCCCAAAATTACCCTAATTCGAACTTATCAGGAGAGATTGAATCAACATGTAGAAAGTGTTGCGGGAGGGGGGATATTTCAGTGTAATTCCTAGTAATTCCAGGTTATCCCTGTTTTCGCGCATATATATCAGTGCGTAGCTGTATCACGGCCGCATCGATCCTGATCGAAATTCTGACGACGGATCCTTGATGTACAACACAACATTAATTACCCTAACCTGAAAATTTTATACGATTCGGAGGCGTTTGCAACTTGCTCGGGGGGCCCGCAGACGCGATTTTCACCCAATTTTGGCCACTAATTCATCAATAAGTCATCACCACGACATCCAAATGGGAAAATAAGTATATTTTCGTGATCCTCGTGACCTAACGGATGTTGGTACAAATTTTCAGGGGCTGGGAACCATTTCTTGCTGCTCATTGAAAAACTTCGTCTTTACCGCGGAACACCCCCAAAATGAATGTTGTCGACTACAGCGTACTGCTGTCTGTACAATAATAACACCATGGTGCATGGTACACAAGCTCGGGGCATGCAGCTGCTGTCTGAAGTGCTGTCAGAATAAGTCCGTGGACATACACTGAAGGACACCCAACTAACGCCATCACTGCAATTGACAATTACCCGAATCTATCCAGAACATCTGTGTTAGGCACAGCAGTGTGAACATCGACACTGACTAGGAATCGTTCCACATTGAAGGGGTTTTCCACGATGCAGGTACACAAGTAAGGCACCCGGATTATCTGCGCCATCTCTGCCGCGTCTCTATACAAAACCAGTGACGTCATCACACACACCCAACACCTGTATTCAGGAAAAAAATAATTGACAACGCCAGAGATGATTGCCAGTGCGCCACGGTTCGACGCCGTTCGCCTGCTCCGGTTCCGCTGCTCCGGTGCCGCTGCTCCGGTGCCGCTCTGGCCAGTCCTTGCACGACCAAACTCGACCCGCTCCGCTTCGAACACGCTCTCGTTGCTAACCATCCCAGTCGGTTCCTCGCTTTCTCCCTCGTTGCACTTAGGGTTCTTGGCCTAAAAATTTTCGCGCCGCGAGGGTCAACCACCCCAATCAGCTCGTCACCACCTGTCCCCTCCTCCTTTGATGGCAAAACCANGTACACAAGTAAGGCACCCGGATTATCTGCGCCATCTCTGCCGCGTCTCTATACAAAACCAGTGACGTCATCACACACACCCAACACCTGTATTCAGGAAAAAAATAATTGACAACGCCAGAGATGATTGCCAGTGCGCCACGGTTCGACGCCGTTCGCCTGCTCCGGTTCCGCTGCTCCGGTGCCGCTGCTCCGGTGCCGCTCTGGCCAGTCCTTGCACGACCAAACTCGACCCGCTCCGCTTCGAACACGCTCTCGTTGCTAACCATCCCAGTCGGTTCCTCGCTTTCTCCCTCGTTGCACTTAGGGTTCTTGGCCTAAAAATTTTCGCGCCGCGAGGGTCAACCACCCCAATCAGCTCGTCACCACCTGTCCCCTCCTCCTTTGATGGCAAAACCAGGTTACTGAGACAGTACAGCTCCCTCTAGCAAACCTATGGTCGTGTACATAGTGCCCGTCCACCTTTCTGATGACGTCTGCCTCCGCGCACAAGGATGAGATGGGCATTGCTGCACACACCGACGGCCTGGAGGCCCGCACATGTGCACCTTTGTAGCTGACGCACCACTGCCGACCCAACTCCACCACACGCACGCCTCGCGGTGGGTGCGCCGCAGCAAGAAGGTATCGGTCGCTTGAGAGTGAGTCTAGCCCTGCTCGCTACAAAGACCCCCCCCCCGCTATGGGTGGACACGCCACCCCAAATATAGCCCCCATAGTATGCGCTACCAAGGACGCGTGACGCATGGATGCGTGGAGTAAGGATAGCTTACGGAAACCTCACAGGTTGAGTGATGTAGGAGATTGCCGGACACATAGACGTGACGTGTTGAGTGAGGATAGCTGCATACTGAAACCTCACAGATGCATTGGTTTTTGAGTTTGCCAGGCACATGGACGCGCTGAGTGGGGATAGCTACATACTGAAACCTCATGAGTTGAGTGATGTTGGGTAGTGCTGGACACATTGACGCTTTGAGTGAGGAAAGACACATTGAAACCTCACAGGTGATTTGTATTGGAGATTGCCGGACACCTAGACGTG